TACATCAGCGGCTACTATCCTAAAACTACCAATGTATGCGCTTAAAAAACGTAAAAACTTCAAATTTTCTGGTAGGTGAATTTTTGCTCAAAGTATGCAGGCAGTAACTCAACCATGTGAACTTTGCTCCTGATATTTACATCAAGCCCGATTTTTTTGTTCCAAAACCTGTTCGATGCTACGATATAGTGATGTAAGTGAATTTTCAGAGATTCATGCGTACATTTCAGATGCGTGACCAATATAAGATCAAGTATGAAAAGGACATTGCCTCTGCTTTGGATGGGAAATTAGGTGGAAACCTCGAAAAGACTATGCTTGCTCTTATGGATACTCCTCTTGAATATGATGTCAAGCAGCTAAAACAAGCTATGCAGGTTGAGCTATAAAGCTATGAAGGCCTGCACACCACAAAGTTTTAATCCTTTTAATATTTCGTTCTTGTAGGGACTTGGCACTGCTGCAGTGACATTGATCGAGATTCTCTGCTCTCGCACTCCTGACCAACTTGCTGCGATTCGGAACGATTATGAGGAACAATACGGTGTATCGCTGGAGAAGGATGTGGGTCTTGGTTATTTGAACGGTCTACTAGATGGTTAAATCGGTATTGATGGTCTGCAATCTGCAGTCGTTTTGGTCGAGCAAAAGTTTCACTGCTTATATTTGAATTAATGTTGATTATTTGGAACAGAACAAAAAAATTCTGGAGAGTGCTTGCAACAATAGGCGTGCAAGTCCATGTCAAAGCCCAAATCATTTGGAAAGCACATTTCAGTAATGTCCAAAGGAAACAGAACTGTTGACTCTCTTCAATTCTTTCAATCATTAGATGAGTTCAGTCTGTTACGCTCTCTAATTAATGATTTAGTAGAGCGAAATGTGCTGTATATTCGCTAGCATCCGTGATATCCAATATTATTGGATGTTGCTACCAACCATACTCTCAAAGTTATGATATCATTACTACAATTATAAACTGACAAAACGTGATTTGAATGGCTTTTCAATTTCTGGAATTCGTTTATATTGTATTGTATTTTTTACTTCGCATGCAGGCTACAATGAGTAATTTCGCGTCACTATGGATACGGTTTTTCTCGTGATTAAATCACGATTTCCTATTCTAGTGCCTTAGGAATATGGATAAGCAGGGAATGAGATGTAACTTTGACATTTTTTAGAAGCATTTTGCTTAAGCCATAGAGTTGTGCACAGGCATGCATTAATATCTGAGCTAATTTTCTTAGTATGGAAAGAGTAAATCCTCGTACAGGAAGTAATTGTTATGATCCAACTCTTATCGATTCGGTTTTCATGTTCAAAGATAGATCTCATGGCCGGAAAGTCGCCCATGATAAAATAAATTTGGAACTCATGTGAGCACACAAAAGTGCATGCTTCAAAGTGACTCAGTCGTCTTGATAGCGTGTT